ATATGTATAATATTTATGTATTTATATAATATATGGGAGTATTACATTTTCTTTATATTCAATCCGTATATATTTGAAAAATATTTTTTCAATGCCAAGATTTTGATCTTATTTTTACCTTAAATAATCTTAAGGCATTTGTTCTTTTTTAATCTCTTTTGTCATTATCTTTTATCGTCGAATACCAATACAAAAAATATTCTACAAAAATAAATCATAGTTATTTTATACCGTCGTTATAATTTAGGAATGTTCTATTAGAATGTTGCAATTTGATAAAAATATTAGATAAAATAGCATATTGTATTACACTACAATAATAGATAATCTACGTTTGATTGTTTTCATATTTTAATAAATACATAAAATATTAACAAGACCATCTCATGTTACATGTATTTGTTATTTGGAAAATTTGTTTTTGAGTAAGAATAATGATTAAAAAGCATATGTTAAAATCTTCTAACACATTAATTTTGTGTAATACAAGTTTATAAAAGTTTAGCAATTCTTAAAATAAAAAGGAAGGCATACGTGGCACATTATTCTTATCAACAATTTGTCAATAGACTAAATAATCAGTTTTGTATACATAGTTCTTTAAATTATATTTAATTAGTAATTTATTGGACATTATGATACTTGATGAAATATTAATAATATCATGAAAATATAAAACGACAGATAGATAAGCAATTGTCATTTTCTTGTAGATTTACACATTCACCGCCACTAATACTTCATATAGAAAAATACATTTGTTATTTTGAAAGTTGATATGTTTTATTTAACAGTAAAACTTAATTCAATAAGTCAGTCAAAGGTATTCTTTTAAGTCGTATATATAAATTATTTTAAGAAAATATATATTATGGCAGTGAATAAATCATCAAATATCAATTTTTTCAATATCTTTTTATAGCCAAGGCACTCTTTTTTTTTATTTATTCTACATGAAGTAGATATAAATAAATATCTTATCGATTTGTCCAATATTATCATCGATTGTGTGTGTGTTTATATGGATAAAATGATATATACAAGTTCGTAAATCGTTCCGTAACTATTTAGAAACTGTTTCGAAAACTATTACATGGCTTTTAGAAATATTCGGTTTTATATAACATTAATAGTATTGGCAAACACAGTTCATATATTTTTATATAAATTAATATGTATAAGCTCAGAATTAATTGGAATGTTCAAACTTCTTAGAATAAATTCTCTAAACATTATTAAACTTTACACGATCTACAATATAATTATGACTGTATACTTATATATATATATATATAAAGGGTTGCGTGAAAAACGTCTCAGAATGAATTGGAATGTTTAAACTTTTTAGAATAAACTGTCTAAACATTATTCCAACTTTACATGATCTACAATACAATAATGACTGCATAACATCAATCAGCAGGTATATTTTACAATGTTCTCCACTTTAGTGTCTATTATTGCAGTCATTAATGAAAAATTGAATAAAACCATGAAATAAAGACCATATCATTATCTCACCTATCAACAATTTGTATGTCTTGCACCTCTCATTAATGGAATCAAAATACTTGGACTTTGAGCTTGCCTAAGAAATGGATGTTGTAACAATTCAGCTGCCGTTGCTCTTTGAGCTGGATCACGAACGAGCATTCTTTCAAGAAATCCTTGAAGACGTGGACTTACCTACAATTATTGCATATATTTTTGTAAATTATCAAATAAACAAATTGATATTGTTATAAAAATGTTATAAGAACACAATAATACTTACTCTATGAGAATTTTTCAATTTTGGAGGTGGCATATCTCTTATACGCCTCATAGCTTGTAAAGGTGGTTCGTTAAAAAATGGTGGCTCACCATCGACCATTTCAATGATCATTATCCCTAATGACCAAATATCTACTTCAGGTCCGTATGGCAGTCTATAAAACATGAAATAATCTTTTAAATTACCGAAATTGTAATTGTAATTGTAATTATAGACATAATAGAGAGATAATATACCTTGAAATAACTTCAGGACTCATCCAATAGGGTGTTCCAACCAGAGATTTTCTCTTTGGTAATTCTTGGGAGACTTGAGCACAAAAACCAAAATCAGATAATTTAACTCTTCCATCTGCCGTAAGTAATATTGAATCAGACTTAATATCTCTATGAATAACTCCTTGTGAATGTAGATACGCTAATGGTTTAAGACATTGCGAACATACTGTCGCAATTTGACTCTCATCCATGCGCGAATGTGTTACAATATCCGTTAATGCGCCACCTTCTAAATATTCCATCACTACCCAAAGTTCGTCATCCACTAAGAAACTATCGTACATCTCAACTATATTAGGATGATGATAATCCCTCATGATAACAACTTCATTAAAAAGCAATTCTCGCCTTTGTTGTTTCCTCAAGTCCATCTTTTTAACTGCAACTTGACGATTTGTACTTTTATCTGTTGCTATACACACAGTTCCTGTGCTACCTTCTCCAATCTTCAAAAAACTTTCTAAATTTTCTCGAGGATCACCTCGACTTACCTACGATTTTGTCAAGTGCTATAGAAAAATGATCAATTTATATAAATAAGATTTAAATTGTTGTTTACTTACCACCATTTGTAAAGCTGCTCGAAATTGTTCATGAGTTAAACGTTGTTCAGCAGTCTGCTTATTGGAACTATTCGAACTTGAGCCAACTGTTAAATTACCCGATGATAAAGCGTTCTTCATATTTTGATTTTGATCTGGAGTTGGAGGAGCAGTTCCAGCAACTGTCGAAGGAACATTTGATTTTGATAAGTTATGCATTGACTGCGATGTTTCCATTGGTTTTTTCAAATGGGGTTGCATCGCACTTGAATTTTCCCCCATATTATAATTTTGGGGATATTTATTAATATTATGAGAACTCAGTTGACTCAGAGGTCGTTGTGAAGCTATCGATCCAACTGGCGATATTTTTGGTTGCAATTTCTGCAGTAACATATTCTGAGCAACTTGATGATCTCTTGTAGATACTTCATTCATTGGAATCTAAAATATAGAATCAGATTATTTAGTCAAATTATATCACAGCTAAAGGAATTTGTATAAAATTAATCATTTTCAATAATTTACCTGAACGTTGCCATTATTACACACATTATATTGATTAGATGCAATTGTCATTTGTGAATTTAATCTGTGAAACTCAGACGACTCTGGAACTTGCGGAGTAGTTGGATTTGATGTGGAGCTTTGCGAATTAACAATTGGACTTAAATTTTGAAAATTAAGAGATAAATTAGGAGCATTTTGTCCAGTATGAGTTAAATTTGGTGAAGACTGCATATTGGGATTTAAATTTTGAAGATTTGGAATCATATTTTGAATGTTAGGATTTAATCCAGAAGATGTAACGCTTGGTGAATTTTGTCGCATTTTGTCAAGGTAACTATGCGGTTTGCCAAAGTTTGTAAATCCTTGTATTTGACTAGTATTTGAGGGTACTTCTTGTCCTTCGGGTACAGAGAGCGGAAGATTAGTGTTATGCCTACAAAACAAAACAAAATGAAGCAAGATAAAAGAAAAGAAAATGTTAGGAAGAATATTGTAAGAATAAAAATGCGCGATTACCTATAATCTCTCCTAAGTCGTGGCGGACTTGAAGAACGAAGCGAATTTGATCTTGCAACTGTACTGGTCTTGGGTAATCCATTCTCCGTAGTCTTATCATTTATTAATACTTTAACTCTAGGGTCATTATGTCCTCTTACTATAGTTTTCAAATCAAGTATCTCCGTAGGTGTGATTTCACTTGGATCTACTAGTGGTAATGGTCGATTGGTTGATTTAAGGATCTGATTATTGCCCACTATTGAAGCCCACTGTAATGGTAATCCAACAAATTTGCCCTCTCGCTTATCAAATCCTGTATGTACTCTATGTTCAAAATTTGTTGGCGTAGATATTTGTGGTTTCTTCTTTTTCTTAGCGAACATCGTTAGCCCCTGCCTTTGCCAAAATATATGTATTAAATGAAACAGTATGAGACAGTTCTTATGAAGATTTTCCTCAGTTTATATGATAATAAAATCAATCAAATACACACAAAATAACGTTGAAACAAATGTTTCACAATAATTGCGTTAACTTTCCAATTTATTATAAAATAGTAGATAAAAAAATGATTAAATCATAAATATATAACGACGAATATATCGGAAGAAGCCTAATGACAGTAAAGCTTACCGATTCGTGATGCAGTAACTTCACAGGGGCTTCTTTGATATTTCAGCTAGACTTTTTCGATATAACACTTTTTACTGTAGTTGGAATGTATTAAGGAAAACTATGTTAATTGTATGTACAGTTTCTCGACTCCACCTGATGTTCACTATAACACTATACTCTTATATTACTAATACTAACGTATATAACACTACTTTTAATGTATAAGCAGAACAACTGAAACTCACCTACTTCATACGAGATAGCGCTGCTTTCCCTAGTATACGCTGTATTCTCAACCATATGCACATCTGCTATGACTATGATCAATGTACAAACACACACACATATATAGGTACAGGCAGGTGGTATCCATACAAACAAAATTATACAATATTTATTGATACTTATCATAATAATGGATGTATTAAAACCAGAACTAATATGGGTAGATGGAAGGTGTTATAGATTTTTTGAAAGTGAAGCTTGGATAAATAAAAGTAATATGGATTCATATGTAGAAGAAGATTATCAGGCAGATTATACAGATGAAGAATCTTTTGATCTTAAATCTGAAATAGTACCTCATGGAGAAACAAAATTCAAGATTTCATTCCATGTTCCAAAGTAATTATCATATTTATGATTCAAAGTATAACTAAATAAAACTCTATGAAATTTAATAAGAAATAAACAATAATAGTAATAATAATAATAATAATAATTTCATGCATCAGACCATTTTTTCCATTCATTGTTGGTTCCAAGAATGCAGTACGTAAGAGAATAGAAATTGAGACCAAAACGAGTATACAAGTTCCCAAGTCAGAACAAGATGGAGATATAGGTAATTAATAAGACAATTAATAACGTTTTAGAATGAGGATTATTTCATTTGAACATTTAAACATTTTTCTTTGACTGTTTATAGTTATAATCGGATCAGATCATAGAGGCATTTTAACAGCTCGACGTCGAATTGATTTAATTGTAGAAGTGTCTAGAAAAAAATTAACTTCCACTCATTTTCTGTGTATACCATTAAATGTTGAGGGGATTATTGAACATTTCAATTCGTTTAAAAGTCATGTCATTGAAAAATATGGAGGAATTACTACAGGCATTGAAGACATTATTTTCCAGAAAGCAAGTAAATTGCATCTTACTTTGGGAATGCTTACTTTACTAGATGAGGGAGAAAGAAAGCAAGCAGTACAAACGTTAATGGATTGCAAACAACATGTTATTGAGTACGATAAATATTACATTTTGTCTCATTTCTTGTTAAACAATTTCAATTGTTTTCTTCTTTTTTAGCCCTTTCATTGAGCAGCATGGCTTATTTACCATACAAATAAAAGGTGTTGATTGCATGAATGATGATCCAAGTGCTGTTAAAGTTCTTTATGGAATAGTATTAACAGAAAATGATGTATTGCAAGAATTATCCAATCGAATTGTAGACTATTTTGCAGAAAAGGGTCAGTGGTATATTTTTTAAATGTGTATCGCCAAATGTGTAGCGACAAAGTAACAACTTAGAAATATTATTTTGACAGAATTAATGGCAAAAAGAAGCAAGGATGTTAAACTACATGCTACGTTTATGAATATATCATACAGAAAGGATAACCCCGATGCGACAACTGATCAAAATATTAACCAATTATTTGATGCCACGCAAATAATGAAAGTAAGAGAATAAATGTTTCACCAAAATTGCATAACATAAACTTATATATTCTTTTTATTACAGGAATATAAAGATAGATTTTTTGGTAAAACAGTTTTAAAAGAAATCCATTTATCTCAACGTAAAACAGCTACTGAGAAGAACTTTTATCAAGCAACAGCTAAAATTACATTGGGATGAGAGACAAGAATTAGAAAAAAATACAGTTTTTATAATATATGTAAATATGTGTTTAATTATAATAAATAATATTGTAACAAATGTAATATTAAAGAAAAAACTATACGAAAAAAAACCAGAATGTTTATAATAAATTTTATATTTGATATTTATAATTGAAATATAGCAAGAGAATAATAAGTAATTTAAATCGTTTAGCAATTGGCGCGTTTTAAATCGATTCGTGACAAATTCAAGTATTTTACGGGGCGTTAGTGTCGTGACATGCGCGTTACTAGAATTTTATGACAAAATCATCGTCGTCATCGTCGTCATCGTCAAATGCGCGACGCTCGACGCTCGACATAAGAGGATAGTTATCATAGAACAAATCTAATAGTACGTATTTTAACGGGGCGAAGTCTAATTTACAAATGTCGTTGAAAAAGATTATTAATTATTCTGTACGATTAAGTAGTGCTACATAACGGATCTTTTAATCCAGGTATTTTCATACGTTGCTTTACATTGATGTCATAGTAAAAAGGTACAATATCAATGTTCTATTATAGTTTATCCGGTCTGATCAACGTACACATACCATGTTTAAATTAAAAACTTCATGGATAGGTAACTGTGATATACGCTCCTATATATCGCATCAATTCTAGTAGAATTATATTGTAAGAAAATTACATGCGTTTCCGATAAATTATTATTACATCATGGAGAATCATTCGCAGGAGAGTCATGCAGTAGCAAAGACAGACGATGAAGGTATGTTTAAATCTAACAATAATTGAAACCCCCTTACAATTGGTATGTATATGATAACACTGAGTCACAATAACAGTAAAATAAAATAAAATAAAATAAAATAAAATAAAGTAAAGTAAAGTACTTTCTTTTCTTTTCTTTTCTTTTTGATATGTTTTATTTGATATACATATAATTATATATATGTTTTCTTCATGAAAATTTGATTGACCATAATTCAGAAACTGTCGAGAAAAAGATTACTCGTTTGGAAGCAGAAAATAATAAAATGAGGGAAGAATTTAATGTGCAAAGAGCTAAAATGAAAGAATTATTTCTTCAAAAGGAAGGTACGTTGAGAAATAGGATAATCAATGTTTTTGCAATTGTAAAAGATACTTAAATATGTTCGCAGAAGAATTAAAGAGAAGATTAGAGGATAATGTACGCTTGCAAGATGAAAATGGAAAATTAAAAAATGAATTGGATGAAGCGAAAAGCCAATTAGTTATTTCAGATTTAAAATTACAAAATGATATTTCCATTGAAAGGCGGAAAGCACAAGAAGAAATAGCATCGTTGCAACAAGTTATTCATGAAACTGTTGAAGAGTCATCGTGTGTGCGTAAACGACAGGATACAGAAATATCTAAATTAAAATCATCAATTGTCAAGTTGCAAGAAGAAAATGTAATGTTAAAGTCACAATTACCGCGTGAACCACAATTGGATGGGCCCCAAATATCATTGTCAACAGTTAAAACATTAGCTCGTAAGGTTGCATCTCAACTAGGGGCGGATGCTTTATCCTTGGGCCCAGATAATCTTGAGGAAAGCATGCGCAAGGTAAATCCGTAAGTAAGCGCATTCGACAAATTTTTATCTCATTTTCTACTACAGTATATAGGAACTGTATTAGGACTAACTTTTCTATTTCAAATGATAATATTATTGTTATGTTTGTAATACTTTTCATTCATTAATATTATTACAATGATTACAATGATTACAATGAATAGGCACAGGAAGATGCAGAAGTGTTAAGATCACTGGTAGTACCGCTTGAGCATGAAATAAAGGCTTTGAAAGAAAAATTAAGAACAACGGATGATGAATTACAAAAGTTTAAGGAAGGACAGATGCAAAAGAAACAACAGGAATCTGGAAACTGTCAAGAGGCCGCCTGCGACATGTGCCGTAATTATGAGGCGCAACTTGTTAAAGTTCAAGAAAATGTGAAAGATTTAGAAAAACAATTAATTGATTCAGAAAGAATGTTAAATGTACAGAAAGAAGATTTAGCAAAAGAGGTAGAATTTCGCAATGAAATGGAACTAAAATGGAATGAGAAAAAGGAAGAGCATAAAATCAAAGTAGCTGAGCTTACTGATATCTCACAAACAGCTCATAAAACATTATTGGAAACAAAGAAAAGTTTCGAATTTATTCAACGAACCATTACAGAGGAGCTGTCTAGATTAACTCGTGAACGGGAGGAAGTTCAAAAACATCTTCATGCGTAAGATTCCTTTTCAGTATTTAAACTTATATTCTTAACTATTCTGATAAAGACTCTTAACTACACTATATAATGTCTTCCAAGCAACAAAAACAAAGTATTGAGAATTCAGTTAAATCCTTCTAGGCTGCAGAAACAAAATGAGAATCTTATGGGAAAACATAGTAAACACTCTCATCAATTACAAAGCGAAAGCATTAATATGCCGAACAACGTCGAGGACTTACATTTGAGTTTATTAAAAACTCACGAAGATTTGATAATGGCTAGGGTAGCTCAGGAGGTTGCAGAAGAAAATGAAAAAACATTAAGATCGGAAGTTAATCTTCTGAGAGAAGAAATGATGCGAGAAAGTGCTGCTAAAGAACAACAAGTTTCGATGTTAAAAAATGACATAAGTGAATTTAAGTAAGTATATTTTCTCGAAATAATTCTATAGGTGCGTGTGAAAAATGTTCATCATTATGAAATATGATATCATAGTTTAATCAGTAATGTCAATTGTATAGGCTTCAGCTTGACAAATATGCAAGGGAGCAACGAACATTTACAGAGAGAGAAGAAAAACTTGATCAATTAGAAAAACGATTGGAAGAGGTATCAAGGGAAAAAGAAAAAGCTGAATCAGCTATGACTGAATTAAAACAGAGAGTTATGAGTCTGCAGCAGGAATTGGATAACAGTGAAGTAGTTCAAAAAGATTTTGTACGATTGTCACAATCGTTACAGGTATACAAATCAATTATTATTATTTCAATAAGTAATCTAATTAATATCGTATTATGTTAATTTATTATTATATTATAAATAATAAGGTGCAATTAGAAAGAATTAGACAAGCTGGAAGTGAAGTAAGATGGCAACACGAAGAAGACGTTGACGAATGTCCGACGTGTCATGTTACTTTTACAGTTACAAAGAAAAAGGTGAACATTCGACATGATATTTTAATCAAAATACATTATATAATGAAACATAATTAAAGTAATAAAACTATAAATGTATATTTTATATAGATGCACTGTCGTCATTGCGGCCATATATTTTGTCAGTCTTGTCTTTCGCACGTTGTGAATAGTGGTCCTAAGCAAAGACCATCAAGAGTCTGTGATGTTTGTCATACTTTGTTAGTGCAAGATACTGCACCTTACTTTAGTAAAGAACCACCGCATACGCCTGATTAAGCATACTTGGATATAGCATTAATTTTAAAATTCACTTGGTTGTATGAACGTGAGATATGGTAATTTATTATAAACGATTATCATTTTCTTATTCATATTGAGAAACAATTATTCTTAATTACACACATTTGTGTTTATACATTTTATTTCAGAAGGATCTAATCCTTATATGAGAATGGACTAGATAGAATAAAGCATAATTGATTGGAATGATCTATAACTAATAAAATGTAAATACAAAATTATATACTACTACTTAATGTTTATTGTAATTTAAAAGATTAAAGCTTTCAAATGCATTCTCACTTACTACATTTTTCCAAATGACTCTACGAACCTGTAAGTAATTTAATGGACAGATCTATGTAATTGCATTGTATTATTGTAATTTGGATGCAAAGGCGCGTATTCTACGAAACAAGGCAGGCGGCCTGTGACGTCATATGACGTAGCATAGCGTCGCGGTGAAATGCGCTGTCGCAAAGTTGCAATAGTGGTGGTGAGGGTAACAGAGAGGGAGAGGATAAGGGTAAGGGTAAGGAGACATAGATGTTGTCAATGCGAGCGCGTCCGTTGCGCTGTCGCCGTTTTCGTCGTTGTGTGGTTATTTTTAAGAGAAATGTTACTTAAACACTCGTGATAATTCTAACTTTGCGCAAATCAAAACAAAAGTTCCAACATTTTTTCAAAATGTATTCTCTCCTAAAGGAAGTTTTTTAATAAGTGCAAATCTATTTTACAAAGTGAACAAGGAGAGAGAGAAAGAATATAGACGCGAAAGCAGAAGGTGGTGGTGTGACCGACGATCGATCGGGGACCCTCTTTCTTTCTTTCTTTCTTTCCTATTTTTTTGTTCTTTTTATTAATCGATTCCTTTTTTACATCCCGCCGTAGTCAATCTTTTCTCAAGTAATAATAATAATAATCATCATCATTATCATCATCATCATCAAGAGAAACAACAAATATAAATAAAAATGGGATCGATAGTATTGAAATCCTTATCCGTATTACTCGGTATATTTTTCGTTTTTGTCGGTACAATGAAATTAACGTCCCACATTAGCAAAGATCTGCATAAAGATTTGGTAAGTCCGTCAGTAAAAAATTCAACAAAAGCTCTAATATTATTATATAATTCTTGATATTATATGATTACTGGCTGGAAATGGTTTTTGACTGTTAAAAAAGAAAAGAATAACATGCGTTACCAATCCATTGATTTGTTGTTTTCTCCCTTATTTATATTTTCATTTGTAACATTGGTGGTAACGTTGCGCAATATTAAATATTCAAGTTTTGTCATCCATGATTATTCTATTCCCTTTCTTGTTCTCATCCTCGAGAATCGTGGAAGCGTGCGCAGTTTATCGCTGAATTGTCTGACAATATGTAGGCGGGATCGATTTCATGTGTACCTAGCGCGTGTGTTCGTGTTCCGAGTTATACTCGAAAACGACACGATGGATCGAAATTTGCTGATATCTATTTTTATATCACCTATGTCGCTGTCTCCTGTCGGCTGTCGGCTGTCGGCTGTCGGCTGTCGCCTGTCGCCTGTCGCCGCTAAGAGTAGTACATTAATTCGTTCGTTGCAATGTGTCATGTGTGATTTTGGCCACTCGTCTCTTCAATGTGTGGGGATAAGTTGCGCATCCTTTTATCTTCTCTTACGAATTACGAAATAACGCAACTTCAAATGCAATTTCAAACATATTTTTTTTTATTCGGAAGTGATTATATTTCTAAATATTACATTTAAAGAAAAAAACTAACTAACGAACGAACGAACGATTGAATAAATAAATAAATATTTATTTATATCGAAGAATTATTTTGTATAATTTATAATGCATGAATATTTTAGTTTGGTAATACGCCGTGAAGATGGAGTAACAAACGCATTTAAAAGTCTTTTAAATTACGCGCCTTTTAATAGAGACATTTAAATCTTTCAAACATTCTACTACGATGGTATTAGAAAAGTAGTTTGTTTCTTTCCTAAATTTGCCATATTCCTTGTTATTATTTTATAAATATATGAGTATTTAAATATACATGTAAATATATTGTTAAAACAAAGACAATGTTTACAACAAACAGTTAAACGAAAGTTTAAACGAAGCATCAAGCTGCTCAATGTAATTTTCGCATTCAAGGCGTTTTCGTTTCTATTTTTGCTGCTGGATGAACTATCCTCGTCGTAATCATTAATGTATATGTTACTATCTTATAAAAGCAGCTGTCCGAAACATTCAGTTGAGTCAATGCCAAATATCCATTCGCCAAATTCTCGATTTTTACCATTTATTCACTTAACCCAATCATTAAATTAATAAATTAGTCTGGATTAAGTTAAAAATGGTCCTATCCACCCTGCATATGCATGCATTATAAGTGTATTCATTTGCTATTGTTTCTTTTCAGAGAAAAGAATACGTTAAATATGCTAAAGTATTTCCATTATCTACCACGTTGGATTTCAAAGTTCCGAGCAAATGGTACAGAAGAGTGGTTGGCTCGCTTGAAATCATCTGCGGTCTTGCCATGGCAATAATTCCAAATTGTATATATAACATTAATTAAGTAAACAATTTCTTTAATGATTATTTATTAAGTACTAATCTTTTTTAGACAAGGTGAAAAATTTATCGAATGCGGTATTACTCTTTCTGATGCTGATGGCTGTCTATTCTCACTATATGGTAAACGATAGATTTGAAAGAATTGCGCCAGCTTTGGTATGTACAATTGTTAATGTTCTAATTAAACGTAATTAAATTTCTATTTTAATTACTTAGTTTTAATTTTTTGTCGTCTTATTTTTGTTTAGGTGTTCTTTTTTATGCTGACGGGTCGATTGGTGATAGATTGGCAATTACGACGAGAAGATGCACAACCGGTTGCAGCTAATGGGCTAGATGATAAAACTAGAAAACAAGACTGAATTTATTTATTCGAATATTGAATCTGGCAAACTCAATCTATCTGTCTCTTTCACACATTTTGCAAAAGAAGCAAATTTAAAAAGTCAAGATAGAATAATATTTTGTCGATGAGAGTAAAGAAAATTGAAAATACTAAAAATAATGATTACACTGAACGTGCGAACCAAAAGAAAACTAAATAGATGGAATGTCGAACGTTTATTTCTAATATTGTAATATCCGTTTTGATGGACAGTTGATGGATACAATATTTTCGATAGAGAATATTTAAGAAAATATATTACGTCCTTTTTTTTTTTTTTTTACGTATATAGAAATATTGACATTAACATAACAGCGTAAAACGCAAGGAGTTTGTTTAAAAAACTCTCTATTTCAGCAAAGTCTGCAAAATATGTTAATTAAGACACGAGTAAAGTAAAATTTGGTTCCATCTATTAGATGACATTAGAATGCTTCTATATTAGAAATTAATTAGATATACCTATAATTTATTCATTCACATCGTCTAGCAATGAAAATCTGAATATTAGTTAAGCACAATTAACTGCCACAGAAAAGAAATGTGTTCTCCTTTAATATCGTAATTGAATGTGTGTGTACATAATAACGTATAAATCTGCTATACTCTACAAAAAAATATATCAAGTGCACGATTTAAAATATATATATATCTACTTTAAGTAGTATATACATACATATATAAAAGTAAAAAATATATATATGTATCGAATTTATTGGACAAATATGTAGAGTCATAAGCAACATTACTACGTTCCATCAAAAAAAGTTATAATTAAGAAAAAATTAATCACAGTACACTTTTTCGTAAAGACATTTTGGAAGGAATCTGATCGTTATTACAAAAACGATAAAAAAATCAATTATGATTACCTGTGTGTTTATAAAACTACTATTTGTATGATATATCATAAAAATTTAAATATACAGAGTGTTTTAACAAGAAAATTTCTACCAATGATACCAAAAGTAATTAATTTCATCTTTTAAATCCTATATCACGCTTTGTAGATTTATTTATTTCGTAATATAACTTAGATAAGTAAAATGTAAATATTTATAAAAAGGAGCATGCTAATCATTATGGGGGCCAATTTTGAGGTCTTAACTTATTGTACATGTACTGTATAAACATTTAACTTGAAAACAAAAAGGAATAAAAATACTAAAGAAAAACAAGATAAAAATTTGGAAACTTTCATATTATGAAATTTGCAGCACACAATTTCAACTAAATTCTACGTGAAAATAGAACATTGTTGTGAGTATTTGTTGAACTAGCAATACAAGAAAAAAGAAAATTAACAACAACACATTGGGTTAGAAATATAGCTAGTTAAGTAACTAATCAAATTTATGTTATATTGAGTTAAGGAAGATGAGTCATGACATTTATGTATCTGACATATTATATGAAACATTTATTATAAATTTTGATGAATATTATGAATTATATTTAATAAATATAATTAGATAGATTATGCTAACATACAAGACTATTTTTTTCAATGCGGACAACACCATGAAATGTATTAAATGGAGAAACCACAAAGTCAGACTTTGATAATTATTGAAAACAACATTTTATCATTTTTATATTTAATATAATATTATGTATTAAGTTAAAAACAATTTTGTATGTGTAGTATTGAATGAATACACTATAAAAGGAAGAAAAATTATATTTTATGAAAAAAATCTGACTATTTAAATAATGACTGGTTAAACCATAATAAATGACTGGTCTTTAACATAATTTGTAAAGAATAATAAATCTTCGATATAATGAAAAATATATATTCGAATAGGTATTTTTCAATAGTTATACGTATAATCTTTCATGGTAAAATTTTATCTGTAAATAAGCATAGCTGATCTTTGAAACTTGTTTATTGTTAGATATATATTATTTGGCATAGTAATAAAAATTTTCTCTGGATTCTTATAACGTTGAATGATTTATTAACATGTGTATAATTTATTTGCTATTTATGTAATTTATAAAAACATGTGTATGTAATATTCATGTATATACAAATACTTACGCCAGCATATATATGTTCAGATTTCCAAGAAACTACGATTTTCTAATGTTTCATTACAACCGGATTTGTATAATCATTGGTAAACTACAAGTATCCTCGCAATTCATAATTGGTCATTGTTGACCGCGAGAAAATGCATCAAACGACAAAATTACATTGTCCAATGCAAAATACTTCATCTTGTGTTTCGATTCGCCGGTTAGCACGAGTTCCTTTCCCAATTCGGCCCTCTTCGTTGGCGTTCGGCGACGTTCGGTCCACGATGCACTCGAGCGGTTTTCTATCCTTCAGTATGTCAACATCTGTTGTAGTAAGTGGTTCGGCGTTCTAACTGTTCCATTCTTTCATAACATTATACTTTTTCTTTTCTCTCAAGAAGGATATGAAATTTAGTTAAAAAATAAGTCAATCGCGTGTTATTTATGTGCCTTTTTATTTTCAATCAATTTTCGTATTAATAATACTTAACCCCTTCTTCGAATTTTGATTTTTCTTTTCTTTGGATTTATTTTGTGTGTTTGTATATACGTGGAAACGTGTGAAAGAAAGAAGCGAGTTCGTGGATGCCATGAAGAAACACGACGAATCGTTGTTGGAGCCTTTGGTCATTGGGTTCAAGGTACGCTGACATGTAATAATATTTTTTTAAGATAACCTAGTAATCTTTCTAGGTATTATTATTACTAAACATAGTTTTCTATATACATTTGTATTTCTCTTTCTAGATTTATAAACAATCAATGTTCTCTACAAATATTTTCTTACCATTAGTTCATTTATAATCATAAAATTGTATTTAACAATCTTGTTGATCTTTCACTAATATATAACTAGATAGTAAATATGAACATACACACATATACTCGTACAAGTATTTGCATAAAACGGTTTCTGTAGTTCTGTAGTTCCGCTATTGAAAATAAAAGTATAACTAACAGTCATGCTGTTGTAACGTGTTTAATTAGTTTTGTCCAAATTCGACGATATTTCGATTGCAATATTGAATCGATGATCTTTTAAGGGTGTCGTCACGATTGGACAGCATTGATAGAGAAGAGCTCTTGGACCATTTTAATCGTGATTTAATTTGGTACACGAGCCGGTGTTAAGGAAAAGTTAGGTGCCATTTAACGTGCTCACTCATATACACACAACACAAACACACACATACACATGTGTATCCTTTTTTGCATCTCTCTTTCTCTTTCTTAGTTTCACTTTGTATTTTTAGTTTTATTGGCAACGTTCATATTATTAAAGATTCAAGTTTAGTGGTTGTGTGTCTCAACGCTTAAAGCTTTTTAACATAAAAGTGACAAAAGAAGATTGGAAAACGTTTTCTTCTCTCTACCTCTCACGTGTTCTGACACAAATCTATCGTCCTTCTACGTTGTCCTTGCGCGAACACGTACACGCATTTACGTTGATATTTATGTCAATGTATTTGTATCTATTTTTTTTATCGGGATATATTATCGTCTCAACTACAGAATGCAATTATTTTACTCAGGTTTATTAAAAAATATCTTTTTTTTTCTGTCTTCTGTTATTTTTGTTTAACAATGTTGAAATAAATGTTAATGATGTAAGAAAGATCTAATCTATGCAAAAAGAATATCTTATATATAATTCAGTTAAGATGGATAATACATTTTTGTTGTATTATATAATTCTTACTAAACTGGTTTCAATATTCACTAAAAAAAATAATTGTAAAAAATGATTAAGCTTGTTTACATAAAAAAGAAATGTATTATAATCATTTAAAAATTCTGTTGAAACCTGTTTTATAGAAGATAAACACATCTGTTGCGTTGGTTTATTACAATGTAATAGAATAATTTAAAGTGATCGTATCTCTTCGTTTTCATCCGGTATATGTGTTTATGTATGTATAAAGTGAAGACGGATGAGAAAAAAAATTCATATTATTCAAGATAAATTCATTCTATGGAAATTTGTTGTTATGAAATAGTATATGCATACATATGCTTCTTGTATGTACGAACTTTTGAGATGTCGTCTTCTTAACAAAAATATTCATCGAATCATTGATAATCCAATATTAAATGCATGCATGCATAATAATTTTCTTTAACGTTTACAAATCGATCCGATATACTATTTTTGTATTATACATTAAACACTTTGAGTGATACGAATATATATATATATTTTTGCTGATATAAACGATACTTAACTATTAACTAATAAATCTTATCTAATCGATTAGATGATAATCAAACAAGTTTCCCTTAATATTTTCATATTTTAAATAATAATATTATATATTAAACTAGGGGTGCCCCGCCACGCGTTGCTGTGGCTCACAATCAGTCCGATACACACGTCTTTAAGTCAACGAATTACCTTATACCGTCATCTGTTAGAATCTTATCGAACTAACAGAGATAATCATGACTCTTTGTTAATAAACAACAAATAATTCGCAATAAAATAATATTGCGATTATAAATTGAGATATAAACTGTCCTATCTTTCAAGTTGGATGAAACTGCACACAGTGTGCAAAATTTTATTAAAATCGGTTCAGTAGTTTAGGAGTCCATTGCGGACAAACAACGTGACACGTAATTTATATATATTAAGATAAGATTAAACAAAAATTTATTATGCAATATCGTCGTATGTGTGAAATAGAAATAAAAATTTCGTTTGATTTAAAATTCAATAAGAGAAAGATTAATTATATTTTATTTATAAATATATGTGCCCATAATTGTGAAAGTGGTCTAAGTCAAAATTAAACAAAAAATGAGTTTATCAGTTATTACGCACCACATTATTTTAAACTAAATAAATTCGATTTAATTTTCACGATATTGTCAAAAATAAATCGTTAGATAATGTTTGTTATTTCAATATTATATAGAATTCATATAGTGTTCAAATAGTGTTCAAATAGAAATCTTTAAATATCTCGAAACAAGAGATAGGTACATGACTTAGACCACTTTCATAATTATGGGCACATATAATCATTTAAATGTTAACTCTTTGAACTCGATTTTTATTCAAATAATTTTTATTATAATATAATTTTTACTTTATTTTATATAATTTTGTCGAATCAGAGTCAGATAAAAAATAAAATAATAATGAATAAATATAAACTACTGAGAAATATGTTGCGACAATAAATTATTATTATAGTCACTTTAAAATGTGACGTACGCGCGAGTTCAAAGGATTAAATTACAGGTCTTTGGCATATGTATTATTTTACAGTTGAATATAATTCAGTGTAATAATATGAGACGACTCGTTTTGATATTCGGTTAAATAATAAATAAAACAAATTTTATAAATAACGATAAAACAATATTTGAAAGTTTCGTCAAGTGAAATGAAAGAAAGCAGTAACATTAAATATAAAATTTTATTTAATTAAATATTAAAAATTCACTTGGTTGCATGAACCACACACATGTCCGGTTATATTTTTCTCAACATTTCCGTGATTACATTTTTTTTCATGTATTATTATTCCAATTTTCGTGACAATCTTGAAAAATCATTCGTAATGCGATTGAAGAAGTTTCGCTTCGATAATATAAGAAGCTTCAATAATATAAGAAACGAAGTTTATAAAACTTCGTATACATTAGACCACCTTTGAAAATAACGTGTACCCACATATTTAGAAAAAAAGAAAAAAAAATGTTATAATAAACATTAACGATGTTCGTAGAAAAGATAGATGTATTTTGTTTTTGTTATCGTAGACCGTTTATGTTAAACATAAGAAATAATAACAAGTTTCTAATTTTAGATGAGTAAAAAAGAAACTCACTATATATCACAAGAAATACGTATTGGAAATGATTGACATTATTTCAAATCGAGTATATATCGATTACTCAAATACCAGTTATTTGAAGAAAGTTCTAGAAAAATTTGTAGAAAAGAAAACAAGCTTTTAATATCATTCAATGATATTACAAGCATATTACTTGGAAACTTCGTATAAAAAATAATAAAAAAAAAAAAAGAAAAAAAATACATTAAAAAATGAACAAGAATTTTTCTGAACAATTGATAACAATTAGACTCCATCATTAGATGTTTCAAGAACAAATCGATCAACATAAATATGTGAGATTAATAGCAAACGTACGGGACAAATATTACAGTACAGTGAATAACAAAAATATTCCGTCTTGCCTTTTCATAACGAACAATTTTTTTGTCGACATTTTAAATAAAGAAAAAATTAAGTGGGAATTGTTAAACAGGTATATGAACGTGTTACAAGAAGTACGTGGAAAATGGAGAAATAAGCAACATACTTTTTTTATAGCATACAATCATCATTGTATACATTATTATGTAAAATTTAAACTTTCATCACGACTTAAAAAATTCTTTGATAATTAATCTTTCTTACAACATAAAACAAGTAAATGTCTGTAAAAAGAAAGACTACTTTAACAACTTCTTTTCAATTTTGTTGTATTTCAATGGTATATAATTAAATGTTTCAAATTTTTCTAATAAAAATTTGTAAATATTTTTTCTACAAAGTGTTATAAATTTTGAAAAAATTCAAAAGATGTAAAAATATTTTTGTGATTTACTGTATGTGTTTAGTATCTACGTAACGAGGCGTGAACGTTATGCGTCTCTATTAAAGTATCAACTGCGCGAGTCAATTGACTATGAACATGTGCTTTTAACTAGAACCTTGTTTTAATGATTAAAAAAGTATATCATTTTTATGCGCAAAGAATAATAAAAAGTAAAAGAAAAATAATTTTTTTACTTCTTATTTTTCTTTCATTATTAATTAATTAAAAGATATTCAAATTATTGAAATTGTCTTTAATTACATTCAATTTCCTGAGCATAAACATATGCTTTTAATAAGAATCTTTTTTGACAATAAGCAAAACAAAAAACCTTGAATAAATACTAAATTTGTTTTAATAAAAGACATCATTTATTTATATCAGTTATTATAGGATATAATTTTCATACATACAAAATGATATCAGAGATTGTTTTTATTTGTTTGTTTCTTTTGTTAATTAGAATAGTCATATAAATGAATTGTATTTGATATTACAGAGTGGATCGAGGACGGAGAAGAATCATCAAGCCTAATGTCCGTATGGTCAACGAGTACTGGACGCAATTCAGTGTTTGGTGGCGAGAACGGAGCAGGACTCCCCTCCTCCCACTTACCTATCAACGTAAACGTGGCTCATTTACATACACGAAACGCTAATGAACATTGTTTCCACAAGAGGTACTACGATTTTCAGGTTTGTGACTTTTTTTTTCATGTTAATTAACATTTATATCATAATTTATTAATGCATCATATTATATGAAGGGGTCTCATTTCATTTGAAACGTTTAAGGAAATTTTAATTAAGCGATAAGAACAACAAAATGTTGATTTTTGTTTTTGGTTTTGTTTATAACATAATTATGTGGTATTATTTAATTTTGTTATCTTTTGTGTTTGATTTTTACATACAATATTTTGTTTTAATTTGATATAGCAAATATTTGTATAGATCTTAAATCCTGTAGGAGGCCTTCGTACGATCTTGATAATCGTTCATGAAGGACGATGTGTTTAGTCTTGCACCGATCCAAATCTATTTTTATTTAATATGCACCTTTTTTCTTTTTCTAATTCGAATCGGTCGAGCACGGAAACTAACAAATATGGGAATAAAGTGTCACTTTAAACTCCAACAACAACAAAAATGGAAAAATATGATAAAATATTACAAATAAATCCATACGAAAAAGCAGAACAATTTTTCCACAGAAATTTGAATAAAGTAAAATAATTTTAAAGCGTTCATTGCTGAATTAACATGACGCACACACACGCGCCGCACATAATCTTTGTATCGTACGATTGATAAATGTAAATAGTTCAATGTAATATATTCGTGTTTCACTCGCTTTATCACACTTCGTTTTCATTCTTGCCAAGATTTCCAAGCGTCTCGATAATCCCTTTTCTATTTTTGATCAATTATTTTCATTAATATCATTCATTCTTATTATTTCTTTCGTTCAGCATCCCCATTGGTTTTTCTATCCTACGCGGGACTTTTGGCAAGTTGCTCGCACCAGCGTTGATAACGACTTTCGGTATGTTTTGCATGCTTCTTTACGAGTCCTCTAGCACTTCTTGTCACATCGGCAAATGATACGCGTCGATTATCTTGATAATAGTCAAACTTAATCGAACGTGAACGAAAAAAAAAAAAAAGAAACAGAAATGGGAATGTTAATAATACGAGTATGTCGCTAATAATAAATTCTGTTCATACATTACATCATTCTGAAGGAATGAAACGTTGTCGTTTGTTGTTTTATGTCTTTCGTTTGATCAGTCGAAGATGTCGCAGTCAGGTGATGGCCTTCATACACCGGGCTATCTCTCATGGAGAAAATTGCAGCTAAGCAGAGCGAAACTGAAAGCGTCCAGCAAAACCTCGGCTTTACTCTCGGGTTTCGCTATGGTATGATTCAAGTTTATATTTACTTATCATTTAGTGTATAGAATGTGTCTTGTCTCAGCTGCAAAAAAAAAAAAACACTTCAATATCTCCCCTTGGTATTTATTTGTTTCTTTTTTTTTAACGTAGATGAAATCATATTTATTATTAGACATAGAATAATAAAGATAAAGGATTATAATTGTCAACAGGTCGCTATGGTGGAAGTACAACTAAACTCTGATACCAAAGTTCCTCCAGAGATGTTAATTGCTTTCGCAGTTTGTACGACGTTACTAGTAGCTGTTCACATGTTGGCACTGATGATATCAACGTGTATTCTACCAAATATTGAAGCGGTTTGCAACTTACACAGTATAAGTCTTGTACACGAGTCACCGCATGAACGTCTCCATTGGTACATCGAGGTAGCATGGGCGTTCTCCACTTTACTTGGTTTACTTCTATTTTTATTAGAGATAGCGATTCTTTGTTGGGTTAAATTTTACGATTTCTCACAAGTTGCCGCATGGTCGGCCTGTATAGTGCTGATACCAGTATTGATAATCTTCCTCGCTTTTGCGATACATTTTTATCGTAGTTTGGTAGCTCACAAATACGAGGTTACCGTATCCGGTATAAGGGAACTAGAATTGCTTAAAGAGCAAATAGAATCTACGGATACCGAGGGTAGAAACGGTTTAAATTTATTCCAATCCGGTGTAACGCACGTTGTGTGATATCATCGAATTTTGAAGTACTTTGAATTTGAAGAAAATACCACTGCTGCGTCTGTGACGCCAAAGGATTTAAAGCAATTCCTTCCAATTTTTTGTTTCCTTATTCATTTAATTATGTTTTTCTACTGATCGCACGTTGCCGTTGCCGTAATTCACAATTAATATATATGTATATATATTTACAAATGCTTAAAAATTGTTCTGAAAAATTTACGGCAGTAACAACTCTTTTAAATCTTCCGAGTTTTTCTTACGTAAAATATCCATGATCTTCCTGGATTGCTGGTTTGGTGATTCGATAGTATTTAATTGCCGTATTTCCTTTATCAATTAAATTTAGGGAAATAATGAAGACGTACGTATATTGTAAATATGTCTGCAATGTACTCTCGAAATTATACAACAATTTTATATGAATTTTGTGATTTAAAAAAGCAAAACGCTTATAGGACAATTTATTTTATGTAATAATCAAAATGGTTCGACTAACATGACAATTATGCGAATGATATGAAAAACATTTTCCTATCTTTATTATTATTATTATTATTATTATTATTATTATTATTATTATATCGCGTTTATAAATGATTACGATACGAAAAGATTATTGTTAATTATTTTTTCATTGCCTTTTAGATTTGTCGTTTATTTATTTATATATCGTAAGTATTGATTATAATTAAGCTTGAAAATAAAGAAAGGAGTGTGTATAATGAGCTTCCTTCACCATTAATATAAGTTTCTTTTTATTGTTTTTATATAAACAATCTAACATTTGTAAAATAATTATTTCATTTAAAAATAATTTATTGTTCTTTCATTTTTACATTTCATTTTACAATTTTAATGAAGTACTTTATTAGATTTCATAAATACTTATTTATATTAATTCATTTCAATTATTTCATCAACATTTAAAAAAATTATTTCGCTGTTTTACCGACTTAGAATAAAGTTGATAAGTTAATTTAGTTTCGCAAAAGTGGCGCTGTTGCGAAATTGTCACTAATGTAAATAAAACATTTTTATCAAAAGTTGGAAATGAGATTAAGATTTAACACCCTATGTATATATTTGAAAAACGTTGATTGGTTAAGAATATATCAAACTAAAAAGAACTTTAATAATAATTTCAATGATAAAAATTAAATTATAATCGGTGTCTCTTTACATGTATTTGATGTTTTTACATTTATGTCACACGTACGACCTTATTGCATTTATTTAACGTTTTTGAATTTCTTGATAAAGATTTCTATAAATTGCCACGTTTAACTTAGATCTTATTGGTTGGTTTGATAGCTTGTCCAAAAAGTGACGTTTCTGCAACAGGGAGGTGGTTACTACAGATGTAATGGCCGACTAGTGTTTGTAAATATCGTCTATCGACTGGATTTTTTGACAGTTCAAGGATCCACGTTGTCAGGTTCGTTGAATTTTCTCTTACACATAAAGTTATACTTAATTCATTATTTTAACGTTAAATTGTTTTTTAAAGATGTCGATACGTTATTCGAGTCAATTGTTACAATTTTTTAAAGAGAGAAAGAGATAGAGATAGAAAAGAAAAAACTGAATTAAAGAATGTATGTCGCCTGTCAACTGTTTTTAAAATGATGTAACACAACAAACATCTAATTGTCTTTTAAATTCAATTCTACAATTTGAATTTTATCAAAAATTAATTGAGCTAATTTTCTAACTTTTTGTAAAAATGCATAAGATCAAATGTAATATACACGATCACACACATAGGACATTTACATGCATTTATGATTCTCCATAAGACTCACACAATCTTTTAGGACTTGCAATCTTAAAAGTTTCATGTAGTAGTGTGCGTGTGTGATACTGTTCTCTTTTCTTCCCCCTTCTCTCTTAAGATTTCCCCTCTTTCGTTTATTTTATTTCCCCCTCTCTCTCTCTCACTCTCTCTCTCTCTCTCTTTACACAAACATATACGTACATTCACTCACTCATTTGCTCATTTATTCATTTACTCTTAAGCTTTGCAGTTACATTCTACTGTTACTTTATGTCAGCACAAGTTACAAATCGTAACTTTACGACTATCATTCGATACTTTTATTTTATTTCCGTATTTTTTAAAATCTTTATATAGATCTTAATAATATATTTTGTTTAAAACAATATTTACGTGTAGTTTTTAATTGTTTTACTGATTTAAAATTAAATACGTATTTTTGTTGTTGTTGGTTGTTGTTGTTGTTGTCATACAAATTGTATGATCCCATACGTAAGTTTGTATACATTTTATGCAGAAACTTATTGTTTATTATTCGTATAAAGGAATATATTTAATCAATTTGTTCATAGAAACTAATCTTAATTTAATATCTCGCAGAAGTCACATAAGACGACACATACAAGGACATACAAGAAGAACAATTTACACATTTTCCAAGGTAAAATTTAAAAGACACTCGTTAGATATTTTGTAATTTTCATTATTATTATTTGTTTCTTTTCTTTTCCTTTTTCCCCAAAATTCAAGCTTATCGATATTTTTGTTTAATTGAAATTCTATAATTTTGTTTAGTTACAATTTCATACCTTATACTATTTTAAAGAAAATAATATTAATGTAAAAATTGGAACGTTGATTAATTTGCCAGTTAGGTATTTTGAAATAATGTTGAATGTTTTACACTAGGATGATAGGTCATTATTTTTGTAGAAAAAAAAAGTTAAAAAGCAAATGCCGGAAGACAAAAATAAATGATAATTGTAAAATAAGACTATTATTTATTGTTTCATATCAAATGAATAATGTAATACAAATTGCAAATGATATGTAAATGATATAAATACGTTTTTGGTTGTAAAATAATTATACAAAATAATATTTCTAATCGAGATAGACAAAAAATGGAATTAATTAAAATTTGTTTTTTTTTTTAAATAATATTTGTAGAATTTGTATTTATTAGAATGATTGTTTTTTTGTTTGTTCTGTTTTCATATCATGTTAGTGATAAAAGTGCTTCTATTTCCTTCGCATGAACATTATTTTTATGCTTACTGATAAGAGTAGTTAATATAGCGATTTCAAGCGTCAAAAAATGAATACGGTAATGTTAATATGCCACATATGTGCTTTCTATATACATATATAAATACATATGTTCCGTAGAAATATTTCCAAATGATAAAATAACAAATATAGAAGATAAAACGAAACGTGTAAACGTTGAATTCTTTTTTTTTAACATTTATTATAGTTAAAGAAAAGATAGTATAAAGTTTATAAATAGGGTTGTGTGTGTGCAAAAATATTTACTCGAGTAAAGGGGGTTGTTCAAATTTGAGAAATCTTCCCTTAGAGTATCGTCATATAATAAAATAAAATTAAAAAATTCTTTCTCATTGAATTTATTATTATCATCATTATATACATATTTTTAAAAATAATTCTTTTTTCTTATCTAATTTGATTGATCACGTCTTTTATCACGTCTTTAATCACGTTTGCAATTATTTACGTTATTTGTATATCGCATATCTCGTTCCCCTTTTAGTTTCAGCCATTAAAATTCGAGAAATAACGAAGATACCTCTGTTAATAAAATGAGTGACAATTCAGATCCTTGTGAATACTTTTGGAGTCACGAATTTCTCGTACAACGTCTACTTTATATTGTAAGTCGAATTTTGTCATCGTACGAAACCAAAGAACAAAAATTATCGACAAATTTTTCATTTCTAACTTTAAAACGTTTGTTAAATATTATTTAAACTTTTAATCGTTACGCGCGAAGAGAAACAAACAAAATTCAACAATTTTTTTTAACAATTAATATATTCTTTGCATTATTTATCTTTTCAAATAGTATTTCAATTAGATTTCACGACAAATTTGATATCCTTCGTATATTTCGTAAAGAATGCGTGGTCTTAATTCGCGTGTCGCATTACAAATAATTTTAAGCGTAACGTTCAATCATTTCGCGAATTATGCAATAAAACATATCTTTTATATTCTTTTATATCGCCTTCTCATTTTTCGCATTATATATGATTTATATTATAAAACAAAATTATTTAATCTTCGTAGAATCGGTTTTTTTTTCGTTTTTATTTTTCGTTTTTCGTTCGCCGTCGTAGCGTAACATTATTTATCATCGTGAATATTATTTACATCGACATTATAAATAAAAATATATTATTTTAGCTACGGCAATCACAAGATCACTGTTCGGATATTGAATGTTACAGTTTATCAAGACGTAAGTATCAATTTGTTCTTTAACTTCATTAACTTTTATCTGTTTATTCAATATTATTTTATATTTTTTTTTTTTTTTTTAGTACCAGGACCACCTCCTGTAGAGTCGACGTCTTCTGATTTTTTTCTAACAGGTTTATTTCTTGCATTTGTCCTTGTAATGTATATTACCGGACCAAGAATTTTTCAAAATCAACAATTTGGATTTTTGACTAAAAATCGAGATAACATATCCGTAAGTTATAACGTTTAATTATTGATTAATTACAATTATTAAATGTTTATTTTTATTTATATTTTGTCATTTACATAATTATGAATATATATTTAAAAATAATAGTTCGATTAGTTCTAATAAATATTAGATAGATAGAAAAGCTATTTTTCATCCCCTTTTTTTTTTTAGGATATGGATGATGATCTTCCACCACCCCCACCTGCAGGAAATTAAAAGCGCACACTAATAATGGATGGTATAGAGAAATTTTTCTTTTATTATAATAGCTGGCTATTTTTTAAACGGCAAAAACAACAATATTGCTTAATAATTGATTAATCATGAATCGGAAGAATGATGATCTGAGAATATTTCTTTTTTTTTCTTTTTCCATGCAGAAATATATTTGAAAGATTCAGTATTAATTTTCGAATGGTATAAATACTATGTTTATATATATATACATATACATATGAAAAGAAAACATTTTAATAGGAATTATACATATATTTTATTCTATTCTTTTTTCCCCTTTGTTTACTTCATTTCTTCTTACTAATGCTTATTATTACATATTGTATATGAGGGGGGTTTATATACAGTGTGTACAGAAATAATGTAAAATATTAGCACTAATAATGATAATAAATGTAAAGAAATCTTAAAATTTAATATTACATATTAAATATAACATGTGTGATTGTATAGCAAAATGGGATGATATTTAAAAATTACTATAAAGAAATTATTTTCTCATGAAAGATTTATTATGCAAGTTATTCTTTCCATTCTAATAATCGCATATGGACAGTAATCCTAATATAATATATAATGATTGATCATATTTTAATAAATACTTTTTTTTTCTTTCCTTTTTCAATTAATCCAAATTAACATAAGTGCGGGTGAAAAGATCGAATGTAAAAGTTTATTAACAGATTTCCTGCTACGTGTATCGTTTTAGGTACATACTTAAATTCATTTCTATGGCATTTGATATTACTTTTACATCATTTATAATGATTTTTATGATAGAAAATTTCCAAAATATATATAGTAACATTGCACGGGATATTACAAAAATGATTATAAAAAGGATGACGACAATATTTAACGATGATTGTCTTAACGAATTATCATTATGTTTTCCTTGATTCAATAAAATACATCGATGAACATAAAATTGTGATAAAAAAACAATTAAAATATGTTTACATGCGCACTATTGCTTCAGATTCTGTTTCGCTGCTTCATTGTTTTATTATTTTGTATATTCTATATAATTCTAATACATATAGTATACAAATTATAATGTACAAAAATAATAATATTCTTTTATTTATACTAGTCGATTTTTTTTCTCTCTTTTTTTTTTATATCATTTTAATACGAGGTTTCACACTAAAAAATTATAGAGAAGTTTTCATTCCCTTTATTTCCCCCCACTATATTGCTTGGCAGTTATTTCACATTTGACGTTATGATAAATAATTCTAAACAATTTTTTTTTAATGCATTTATTTTAATCAAAAGCGAAAAGTGAATAATTTAAAACAACGTAGATGATTAATTTTTAAAATGCTTTTCTCATGGAATCTGATAAAAGCCATTTAGTCTTTTATTATATTTATATAAAGAAACAAAAATGTTAAGATTATTATTATATTTTTGTACTTTTAATGTGATGTTAAATAAGCATTGATTTACAAAAATTTATTTTCAATTTTGCAATATCGTACCATCTATGGCTAAATTATAAATATATTTATTGACTTAATCTACTACGGTCGAACAAGTCTTCCTTATCTTTTCTTTTCTCCACATTTTACAATATTGTTCACAAATAACCTGTATTTTCCACTTAATCTCTATCGTCTACAATAATGCATTATTATTATGCTATTATTATGCACGACGACATCTTTTATATTAAAATATTATGTACAAACTTTGTATAACAAATTATATTGGTATTGCAACTATTTCAATTAGATATAGTTCAATCCTGATTGAGATATTTTAATAGCTTTCACAAATCGCTATTAATTTTGGCCATAGTAGATCGTACCTTTTGTAAAACCTCAGACATTTGTTCGTATTTACCAGTAGAGTCTGGTAAATTTTCAAAATTTATCACGTCGCAAATATTCTTTGAAAATTTGTCCGATGACGGTAATTTATTAAAAGGAGAACTTCTTTGTACTATTGGTGTGCCCAAATCTATTGATTTTATGCTTCCTTGACTTGAATTTAATGAATTATGCATATTTTGTGAGAGATCGGATTGTGGTGTGTTTTCAATGGATGGTGAAGGTGGTTCCGATTTCGAAGTACTATTTAAAGAATTGCATTTGACGGGTGTTTCAAGATTAGATTGCGAGCTAGAATCTTCAAGCTCTACAAGTAATCGTTTTTTTATACTTTCCAGATCTGATAACGATGGTGAATTTGTCCTGGACAATGGCGATACACTTCCATCCTAAATAAATATATATTTTCCTAATTATTCACATGAACAACATGTAAGCATAGTAAGCATAGTAAGCATTCAAGATTAGTTATAACTTACAATAGAATCTTGCGATTGACTATCAAACGAACACTGCTCCAATGTTGATGACGAAGATTGAGGTTCTGGAGGTTTAGTAGGTGGACTTTTTGGTAAAGGTGGTATAAAATGTCCATTAATAGGTACCGTCTCAACAATAGTTTCGACTCCTAAAAATAACATGTCAATTTACTTAATAATTTCGATTTTTTATGGAAGAAGTAGATGGGAGGAAAAATGATAATAAATTACCACTTAAATCTTCTATCTCCATATCGCTAGATACTATAGATGAATTGCTTGTTGTAGATGTATTTAATTTTAATTTTTTCCTCTTATATCCTGCTGTTTTCTTGTCACCCATATATAATAGCATATTTTCCTTACTATGGGCATATTGTAGTTCACGAGTCCAAGCATGCATGTATTCCTTTAATCAAAATCAAAATCAAAATCAAAATTTATATATATTTAATTAAATGATTACATTAAAATATTACTTATAAAAGTACTACACTTACATCCCGAGTACCTGATGGAGGTGAAACATTAAATCCAGGAAAGTCAACGATTTTGTTTACATCGTATTGAACTTTATCTTCTAGTATTATCACTTCTCCTGGTTCCTCATCAGGATCCAATTCTGGTGCTCCATCCGAATTGAACAGAGATAATCCTGAATGTTGTAAGCGTGCCTCTTCTAACCATCCAGGAGGATAACCAAGCGCTCTCATTCTATGAAAAATATATTCATTGTAAGAAATATCAAAATGTTAAATTTTATCTATATAACATTTGATCATCTCATATGCTTTGACAAGCATTTTTCTTACTTTTTTTTTTTAATGAAAATTATTGAAATTATTATTTCTTTTTTTACCTGTAAATATGCAAAGGTAATTCATTATCTCTGAGGCCCAATGCGTTACGTAAATCTTTACTAATTTGACCAGGAATCAAGTGACCGAATCTTTGACCATCATCTAAATGATATCTTATACCTTTATGACTTTTTTTATCACTAAGCTTTATATTACGATTCTTAGTTATATTTGCATGGTTCCAAGGCAATACACAATCATTTAAGTTATGGTTTCCAGAACAATTAAAACATGAAAGTTTTCTACTACATACGTTTGTTTCTTCTCCAGTATTTATATTATCTTCTTTTCTCTTTCCATTTTCATCAAATAATTTATAAGACTAAAAAAAGAAAGAAAACAATGTATACATTGACCGTAAGCTATACGTTACAAATGCATTATGCAAAATACATTATGCAAAATACATTAATGCACAAAACTTTGATAAAAAAAAAAACATACTGTGTCATATGTAGGTACATCATTATTTTGCCATATTAAAGGCTGAGTATCCAGAGTAAAGAGATCTTTGCTGTTATCGCTTTCTGTATTAATTTCAATAACTTCACATTCTTTCGGTTTATCCCAAAATTCTAATATTAGGTTAGAGTAATTACTGCATAGATTAACATTCTTTGAATTAATCAAAGCCTCTATGCTTGCGGTTATCTCATGTCGAAATTTTCTGTAACAGAAACATATCGAACATGTAGCATTGTTTACATTTGTTATGAAAATTGTATTTTGCATTTTTGATGCAAATTAATGAAAGACATATGTATATGTAGAATTTCGCGACAGTTATTGTTTATTCTTTATAAAAATTAATACTTACCTAGCAATAGTTTCATTCTGAAAAATAACCTTAACTAGTGGCTGGTTCTTCTCTATTATTACAGGTTCTTCATCGGAAACAGACTCATTGCTTTTCGATTCAATATATTCTTGAACATCCATATTCCAAACTTGTATTGGACTTATCATTATTTGATTAATTTTACACATAAAAACTTGTATTCCTCGCTCTTCTCGATAAGTTTATAAACACTGATACAATGCCATGCAAGTGATACTATTTTTTTCAAATTTAAGAAAACGGAGAGAGATATGGAGTGAAAAAAAATCTACGCACGTAATTATACGATATACGGAATAAGGATAAATATTACACTTGTCACAATTTATTTTAAATACGTTTGTTAAATTACACTACACTGTAATGTTTTTTCGCCATATTAGATTTAGTCGATGGACGCTTTTACTAACGCAAATTATTGCCAACATAAATATGATAAAAATGAAATATCTGTACATGATAAAAAAAAGTAACAGGTTAGCCAATAATTTAATTGTGGCGGATGCGCCTTGCTATTTTACCAGAACTTATAAATTAAAAAAATAAAAAAAACAAGTGATTTTTCTTTGGAAACCGGATTAAGAAAGGTGGACGGAAATTCTTATTGAATTATTCACGCCTTTTCGGGCAATACGTCTTTTCCTATTGGTGCAACTGTCAACCAATGAGATGTTAGTGTACCATCTGACGTCATCCTCTGGACGTCGCTACATATTAAAAGGAAAATAAATAATAAATGATAATTTTTGTATTGAAAGAATGAGCTTAAAAAAAAGAAATGTGTGTTTTAATTCAAATATATTGAGATTTATCGTGTGAATGTTTAAATTTTTGATTGATTTAGTAAAATGCCATTTTTAAAATGTATACGAATTTCTGCTAATAAAGAAAAATCGGAAAAAAGTAAAAAAGAAGGATTACGATGTTCCATATTTCTTCCAGAACGGAAAGGAATTTTAAAAGCACATTATAAAGGTGAATGGAAAGATAATAAGAAACATGGCAAGGGTACAGACGTAGACAGGTATTTGTTTAAATAATTTCCTTGTTAACTTTTCTTTTTGTATAGTTTGATGAACTTGTTATTATCAGAAATGGTTTGATGTACGAGGGTGATTGGTTTTGTGGACAAAAACACGGTTATGGCGTATTGAGTAAAATATATAAAAATGGTAAAATTCGTAAAATATACGCGGGTTATTGGATGATAGGAAAGAAAGAAGGTTTCGGTAATATTTGGTATGAGAATGGGGATTATTACGAAGGAAATTTTCATTGTGATAAACGTCACGGTTATGGTCGCATTTGGTACCAAAATGGCGATTATTATCAAGGATTTTGGAAAAACGATTTGTCGAACGGAAAGGGAATGTTTATTAAAGGTTTTACAAATTCGATATAAATACGTTTAAATAAAAAATATCTTACATTTTGCAGTAGCGATTTTATTTGAATATGTTTATTTTATTGAACTATTAACACAGGAGATGGAACAAGGTACGAGGGTTCTTTCATCGATGGAAAAAGAAACGGTTTAGGTACATTTTATCATTTAGATACTGGACAATGTCAATATGGTTATTGGTGCAACGATTTTTCTATTAATAGCATAATGCAAGATATTAATTGGCGGCAATCTGCTTTGCATCCAACACCATATCCCATACCGGAAACTCATATTTCTACCATTTGTTATTAATTATTCTTTTTATTTTCCGTTATTATTATAAATTCCAATAATCATTTTGCGAAATGATTTTTTATGAAGACAAACATCTTGAGTTTAATTTAGAATTTTCATTACACATTTGGGGGTGACGATGTTTGCTCCCAATTCGCAAACTTTGTTCTTTGATTGCTCTTCGTGTAATCATGAAACGTAATAATACTTAATAATACTTCGTTTCGCGTTAGGTCATTAACTAGTTTGAAGTTGTATAAAAGCATTCATCACGAGTAACAACCCTCGTCGCATGGTTTTACGTGGTATGCTTCATTAATATGAATAATAAACATTTAAAAACACGCTTCAGATTGTTCTCTCTTTTTTCTTCTATTTTTAGTTTATATTAAGTATTATTATAATATTTTATTATTTCCTCGAAAATATTGATGTCAGTACTGAAAAATAAAACAAATTTGTCGATAAATAATGTATAGATTAATTCTACGCTTTTACCATCAGAGGCTCGTTATCATCAAAGTTAGTTTGCACATTGTACCGATAGATGGCAGTATAAGTTCATTGATCGATTGACAATATGGAAGATAATATTTGTATAACAACTCAGTGTTTGTGATATGTTCTATATAAGTGTATTTACAAGTTACTATGTATACATTTTAGATTTAAAGAGTGTTGTAAGTTAGCATAAGCTTATCAAATATTTGTTTGTAAAATATTTTCAATTTGTATAAATTTGATATGACAGACAGAGATATAGGAAAAGAAAAAGATAACCTCACTAAAAATATATATTTAATGTAACAATAATTAATATTCTTTTTTTTTTTTTTGAAGTGAAAACTTCTTTAGAATCTTTAGATAGTTTGCTTTATTATACTTAAATGTCTTACTATGTATGTATACATATATATAATATGTGAGACATTTGATAATGTGAGGATAGGATAAAACTAACAATAAGAGTCGTCCTTGGAAGATCCGCTAACGTAGTTAATCTTATCGATTTAGAAGAAAAATCCAACGACGTTTGTCTTTCCATCGTGCAAGTGGTAAGGGGTTTAAGCGAACAGAGCCAGGGTAAGGGCACTCGAGAACAAAGTGTTGGAAAACAAAGTTAGGCAACCTCAAATTTGTAGAGATAACATACACATACACACACACACACACACAAACACACGAAGAAGCATACTTTTCAAACGGAGGAACCCATTCAATGCGTTTACTATCAAAACTTCGATGTACTTCTAATACAATTTTATCATTTCTTGTATTTTATTCCAAAAGAACGGCTTATCCTTCAATTTCTTTTTTCCCGTTTTTACGAAAGATTCATTTTTTTTTTGTAGTACAAATGTTTCCTTTGTCGGATGTATATACTCGCGATTTGTAATATATTCGTCGAAGGACGATTAAAATGTATTTTTGCGTTGTGTTTTTAATGTAAATTCGTTTAATTAAAAGCTTTGTCTCGTTAACGAGGTCTTATCTTTTCGCTTTGCTTCGCCGACTACGAGGAGGTTTATAAATATTTCATTTGAAAATGTTTTATCCTTGGTGTATCATTAAACTTCATACAAGTCAAAGAAACGATATTAAAAATATACCAGCGCATAAAATTTAACAAACACTCATTTTAAATTTAACTAAAACTTATTCTTAACATTTCTTATTTTTTTTCTATCTATCTATTTATCTCTTTCTTATTCTCATAGAACATTTCAACTTTTAGTTGAATTTCCTACAAAAAAAAAGGGAAGTAGAAGAAGAAGAAGAAGAATTAATCGAAGAGTAGAATAAAAAACGTAGTTATCAATAATTTTGTAAGAATGGGAGAATTTTCGTAGTCGAAGGAAATCATTAGTAAGTTTCTCGAAAATTATCGAAAAAGTAGTATAAAACGGGATCCGAGCTTATCTCAATATTAAAATAGAACGGGTTTATAAAGAAACAATTCGTTCGTTCCTATAAAGTTTGAATTTTTTTTCTACAAAAGAAAAATTACAAAGTAGAATCCAATTAATATTATTTTCCTTTTTTTTTTAAAGATTTATTTATAGGCGTGTGGGTTCAAAAGTTTTGAGCTTAAAAAATAAATTAAAAAAAAATGATATTATACAATATAAATGTAAGGTATGGAGGAATTAAAAGGATCAAATGATAAATGAAGATTTAAGAATGTCAATCATTGTCATTAAAAGTGTCTTTCATTTTGACATATCGATGAATACAGGTGCACATAAGAAACGTTCATAGAATTGTTGCACGCTTATTAAAAGCACGTTTTATACAAAATTTCTCGCACGCATATACAATATATTTATGTTTTATCTATTTGTCCTATTTATACATACATACATACATACATACATACATACATACATACAAAAGAAAAGAAATAAAAGAAACAAATTAACAAAACGTATATACATACATTCATACGTAATGGTGTACATAAATACATGTATTTTTATACATATCCTTACGTAATATATTTATATATTTATAATATTATATTACATTCTTATAAGCGAATTTTTTTTTTATTTTCAAAAAATATATATATATATATATATTATATTATATTATATTATATTATATTATATTATATTATATTTAACAAAATAGGAGAATATAATTTGATACGACGGATTACAAATGTGTTTATGCACAGCGATGAATTTTCGTTAATTGCTATAAAATTTTTCTCTCATTTTTTTTGTCTTATTTTGTCATTAAATAAAAATAATCTTTGGAAAGTAATATAAAATCGATAATCGTCCAAAATTTCATTTTTACGAAAAGAAATAAATGACGGATTTTTATATATTTGTCACCATTTCAATTATATTTACAAGCTCGTGTTTTTATGATCGATCTAATTCATTTTGATTACAAAACTACGTCATTTTGAACTAACACGTTTGTTCATCGACCCTACCACCCCCTTTTCCCCATCTCCAATCGATATCTATGATACATTTATTTACACAAAAGATTTTTCTTTCGCTTGCTTGGCTTCTTCGTTTGTTGTATTTTTTTAGTCTTATTTTTCTTTTATCATTATTATTATTATTATTATTATTATTATTATTATTATTATTATTATTATTATTATTATTATTATTATTATTATTATTATTA